ATGTATACATGTATACATGTATACATGTATGTACGTATGTATGTATGTATGTATGCATGTATGTATGTATGTATGTATGTAATGCATGTAATGTATGTAATGTATGTAATGTATGTAATGTATGTAGTGTATGTAATGTATGTAATGTATGTAATGTATGTAATGTATGTAATGTATGTAATGTATGCGATGTATGCGATGTATGTAATGTATGTAATGTATGTAATGTATGTAATGTATGTAATGTATGTAATGTATGCATGCATGCATGCATGCATGCATGCATGCATGGATGGATGGATGGATGGATGGATGTATGTATGTATGTATGTATGTATGTATGTAACATGTGCGAGTGTTTTTTTATGCCGACCTGCTTGAAAGGCAAAGTGACAAGCTCAACATTGTTCTGACGTCATCTATGGAGAAACCTTTCTGTTCAAGGTCTCGTTACTCGTTGGTGCACTCCTCCTGTTGCAGTCTCTTTGAGGGCTTGGAACTAGGTTTCTGACTCGCCGTAATTAAGTCCTTTTGGTGCGGTTCGAGCATTGGTTTGGAATGCTTAGCTTACTTAGGATCCGCAGCCATGCATTTGCGTGCAAAGTTCGCTGCATTCCTCTCGCGTGTGCTTCCCCGAAACATTGCAGAACCATTTTGCACCATGTGTCCCGATAGCAGCAGAAGGTGGCAGCGAGCCAATCCTTGAAACATCCGAACAGAGCCTATTTGTCGACTCATCTCATTGTTCTCTCTCGCTCTCTCTGCGCCTCTCTCTCTATCTCTCTCTCCCTCCCTCCCCAACCCCCCCTCCCTCTCTCTCTCCCTCGCCACCTCACTCCCTCCTCCCCTCCCTCCATTCCTCTCTCTCGCTCTCTATCCCTCTCCCTTCTCTCTCTCTCTCTCTCTCTCTCTCTCTCTCTCATATTCTCCCTCTCTCTCCCTGTGCATGTGTATGAACAGATACTGCAACGTCCGGGTTTGTGTGTGGCACAAGACCAAGTGAGGTTTGCCGGCACCTTTTGCGCACGAGAGCTGAAGCCGCTTGCTTTGACTCACATGCTGTTGCTTGTTGTTGGGCTTGGGTTGGGAAAACGTGGGGCTCCGCTTTTTGGGTCTTAGGTTCTTTGGGGTCTGCATGGCTTTTGTGCAAACGGGCGACTGTGCTGGATTTCAATACATGTCTGTCGAAATTCGGAGCGCTTAAGTCACTCTTTCCGATTCCCAGGCGTGACTGGTTTGCTAGGTGGCTATGCCTTTGTGCTCGGTTTCTGAAGCCCGACCCCAACACGTCCGGAGCCACGAACCCCCAAATCCTACAAGGCCCTGGCCGCGCATCCTAACGTTGCATGCCATCCCCAGCCGCTAATCACCGCTAATCCTCAACCCTGAGCATGCCTAAGCAGTCTGCTGAGGTCTAGATAGAGCCCAAATCCAAAGCTGCAAAATCCTTATCGTGGGCTTACTTCAGACTGCTGCTGTTGCTTCGACATGCAGGGCAGGCAGGTAGGGCATCATTGCGACTTTGCTACCCGTTGTATTGACTTGTGCTGACAGATCTACTCTAGATTTCTGTCATTGCTGCGGTGGCGATGTGTTTTCTATTGCCTGGTTTCACCAATCTTCGGTCTCAACCGAAAACATCAGCATGTGCCGTGCCCGTCTTGGGACAGCAGTGTCGGCGCTTGTTGTCCTTCAAGGCTTCCATATAAGACTGATTGTATCGAACAGTTTGAGAGAGATGTTTTTTGGTGGGTCCCCCATACAGCAGACCCCAACAAACAGCAAGTTTCAGTAGAACGCCGGCTGTTAGAGTTAAAGTTCCATCCCAAACTCATCACCCTACAATAGACACCAAGTCCAGATCCGCGTCGGTTTAAGTCAACCTGCTGCGCTGCAGGAGCGAATTCGATGTGACCCTTGTGGACGCGAAGGAGAGGGTCGTGTTTCTAGTTAAACTAATTTAACTAGTCTTGGGAAAATTCTAGCAGAGGGTCGAGAGTGGACAGGACAACTTCGCAAGCTTCTTGTGTGTGTGTGTGTCCACCTCATGCACTTCCCTGAGCTCTCTTTGTCTCTATGCGTGCCTTTCGCTGTATGTGCCTTTGTTGTGGCACGCTTGTGGTGTTGTGGGCTGATTCCCAGGTTGCAACATGACCTGACCAGAGTGGCCTGTGCTGGCAGCTGCACAGACCATTTCCTGAAACTTTCTGGCACCTCTAAGTCAGATGCCGAGAGTCGGGTCGAAGCCCAGTAGGCTCAGACTGCCGCTTTTGTTTTCATTCATGTCTTCAGAAGTATATGTGGTCACGTGTACCGGGACATGTGCTCAAAAGCAACCTCCGTGTGTTGAAGAGTTCTACTTCTGCCATCGGGTTCACAAAAGCTCGCACCAGCAGAAAATCCAAGTGTGAGAGTCGAAACTCGCATAAATCAGCATAATCCAACTTGCAAGCCGCACAGTCCCCTTCGCCAACGGCACTTGTGACTACCGTTGGGTGTACTTCGAAAGCCAGTTAGCCCTCTCATCCCCACGAAAGGCATGAACGACTAAATGTCGCCCCAGCAAAAATGATCTCTGGTTTGGTGGTACGTAGGGAAGTGGGAGTGGCAAAGCAGGATCCTTCGCCTCGCTTGAAAGGAAAGAAGATCTCAAGCCGGGCTTACAAAACCGAGAGGCATTTCACCACGCAGCACTGCTGCACATGAAGAGATTGATTGGATACCCAAGACATATACACTTTCGGTTCTCATCTGGATGTCTGAGACATTTAAACTAAGGCCGGATCGAGGGGCGAAATTAGCCAACATTTCCCCGTTCATATGCTGCCGCCCCCACTAACAGTTAAACAAAGGTTCCTCATATATCTCACAGGCCGAAATGAGCACCAGGATTTGAAGGCCCAGCGGATTAAATCTATAGCAACCTCTAGCACGAGTAAAAGCACAACCATGAGCACAAAGTTTAGGGTCACAAAAAAAAAACAATCATGAGTCATGAGCACAAAATTCGGCACCAGAAAAGCACAGTCATGAGCACAAAATGTAGCACCAGAAAAAGCACAGTCATGAGCACCAGAACTTAGCACCAGAAAAGGCACAATCATGAGCACAGAATTTGCCGAGCATCAAGACTGCAAGTATAAGTTCATGCGGCGAATTAGTAGGCTTTACTTTGTAATTGCTAATAATTGCTAAAAAAGCACAACCATGAGCACAAAATCTAGCACCACTACATGCGTATTCATGAGCACGATTAGCACCAGAACAAGCGCAATCATGAGCACGATGTTTAGCGCCAGAAAAGCACAATCATGAGCACAAAGTTTTGCACCAGAAAAAGCACAATCATGAGCAACAATTTGCGGTTTTGCTGGTGTTTTTTGTTGCGCTTCTGTTTGTGATGACTGTTACTAGGGCCGGCGACTTTCACATTTCCCCACAAGAAGGAAAACAAAGGCGCAGGCGCACGTTTTCTCTGCAGACCTACAAGCTGAAAGGAATTCTTCGAGTTTACCCCGGGGATCCTACGAGCTTATGTGCGGCTCGACGGTATCGGGATTCATGGGTTGCGCTGGATGGAGGGGTTTGGAGTTGACACCAGGGTTGTCGTTTTTGGAGGATACTGGGCTTCAGAGATTCGGTTCCAAGCGTGCTTCTGTCGGACTTCTGGCCCTACACCCCAGTTGTCCCGGGGGCTGCAAGCTTTCGGATCGACACAGAGTGTGGGGACATGCAAGCAGCCCTTGTCCGGACCGTAGCTAAAAGAGACTTCCGGTCATTGATAGACAAGCAGTGATCTCACTTTTTCGAATTCTGAAGGCCAGCGGTGAAACTTCTACAGCGCAGGGGTTGCATTCCCCGTGCAGAGTTGAGTGGCAGAGATCGGCTGGTTCGGGTCCCTTCGGGTTCAGTTTTCGAGCACAGTTCTCCTGGGCGAACCGTGCGCTTTCCAGAACTCTAAGCCCATTACAACTGAAACCCTAAGGCCATGCCTTTTGCAATCGGAAGCCAGTGCATCACAAATGCACGAAGATATTTACGTCTTTACTCTATCAGTGTTAGCATGCAAGCGAGAGGCAGAGGTCCTGGTGGTCGACAGTCGACACGCGCTGCTGCTGTTAGCCTTCCTGCTTGTGCGTTGTGCGAGGCAGCCAAACCACTTCGATTCGCTCTCCTTCTCTCTGGCTCCGGTTATGTCGAAGATTGGCGTCCGCTTTATTGCAGGCAGGGTCCAGGCTATAGGTGACTGTAGGAACGAGTCAATCGCTGTTTGCAGTTGTTGTTTTGAAGGCTGCTGATGTCAACCAAGCGTTGTGAGTAAAATGCACCGCCTTGCACTTGTTGCGGGCTGAAGCCAGGAAAGAGATATCCAGACGCCTTTCAGATTTCAGCCCTCAGTTCGCGTCCCCGTGCAGGGGAAGTGAAGCAGCTGGACTACGATGCTCACCTTGGTGCTAGCAGAGAAACGTGCAACCGCTGCAGTGCTAGCACAAGAGCTTACGGTTCGCAATTCTAACGAAGTCAGGGTTCGATTTCATGGAAGTAGTATATAGATAAGATCCCATGTCCAGCTCGCAGATTTGTCATGCAAGGACGGCCAGCAAGTCCTGGCAGACATCAAAGCCCTGCACGATAGCGATGTGATGCGCTTGCCACGTGGCTATATTCTGTGAGGTTGGAATGATGAGGTGTGCACGTCCACGTATATCGTCTTCCAGGATCGTCATGCAAGCCGTTCCACGGAGGTTGTCTCAGCCGCAACCAACAAAGGGGCAATCTGCATGGGATTGCAGCTTTTTGTCCAGGGGTACGGCAGGACAGCATCCCGAATTCGAGAATCGATCAGATTGGGTAAGAACCTGAAGCTTTGCACGGTCATTTCTAACTACCGGTCGTACCAACTACATACACACAGATGCACGTGTCACTTGTCATCTCGTTGTTTTCGTGCTGACAGTTGGCACAAATGCGTCCTATACAAATACCCCCAACCCTAAACCCCAGCTTCAACCGTACCCGCCATGCCTGCTTCGCCGAAACCCCAGCCCAGGAAGTTTGACTACTGCATCGTTTGCGCCGGATGTGCCTGGATTTGTTTCATCTTCCAGTCTTCGACATGGATTTGGTTTGCAGCGTGGGCCCGGTTTTTTTTGGTTCCCCGATCATGGCTTCTCGGGGGGGCGCGTGGTGAAACCCTTTTCGGTGCTGAGCCCAAGCTGACTGGAAGATCTGGTTGAAGTTGTTGGACATAAGCTGGCATGAACTGAAGCTGCGCTTCCAGTTTTCTCCCTGCACCTGTTGCAACTCCGTGTCCCAGAGGCAGTTCAGTGTAGCATCTATGCTTCGGTCGCAATCACCAGGCTGCTTCGGCCCCTTCAGCAAGCCCCCTGGCTGCACATTCCTCTGTGGTTGGAGCACTTCGTTGGACAAGACTTCTTCAGCACTCTTTGTGACCTGATAACAATAAGCATCATGGTCGTCGGCGCCATCATTTGGATCATGAGGGCAATGCTCTGGAAGACTTGCAAACCGCAATCCTTCTGCAGATTTTGCCTGAATCGCCAAGAGCCGGTCCTGCAATCACATTGCTACACACGACGGAGCGGGATGGTCAAGCTGCCAAATGGCAAGGGACACTCGAGCCACGAACACAGAGTTCAGGGAGCAGTAGACTTTCTGGCAGTACCAGTGAAACCCTAGCCTCCAACCTCAAACCCCGAAAGCAGGTGGGGAGAGTCGTTATGGTTCCCAACCATCCACGAATCTGCCCGGGAGGTGGCCTGCAACAACCTGTGCTGTAGGCTTCGGGCTCCGGGGTTTTGAGGGGTTGTCGGGCTCCGTGGTTTACGCTTTGAGGGTCGTGGGGAAGTTGTGTCAGCAAGTGCAGGGTGTCTTTTTGAGAATTCTCTTGCCCAGTTCCCTCAGTTTCGGCTCTCGCTCTATTTCCCCATCCAAGCTTTGCTTTGGTTTGAATCGAATGAAACAACACCAGACGTGTTATTCGGCAACCCTTCCGGGCATACTGAGGCGCAGCAGGGTGTGCAGCTCCAGAAAAGCAACACCGTAAGATCCGGACCTGCGGTCCCCAAGCCCAAAGCCTCGTTAGGGCACTAAAGGACGGGCGACGGGCCAGTTTTTTCTCGTTCTCTTTCTTTTGCCGTCTTGACTGGCAGAGCTCCTCATACTGACAAGTGTTGAGCAAGTATCTGCAGCCGGAGCTTTGTGGTCAGCAGAAAATTCTCGCCCGGGCATGACGAACGCTTCTTGCAGCCTTAGCTGCCTTAGCCATTAGAAGCCTGGAAGGAGAGCGAGTGGCGGGAGATTGACGAACGCTTTCTCGAAGGCTGGGCAAAAGATGTCATGGAAGTGTTATGCAGCAGTGACTGATGTTGCAAGTATGACTGCAGCAGAAAGCGCGAGCTTCTTGCAACCCTTTCGAACTTCGAAGAGTTGAATAGTTAGGGGCGTTTGCCCCCAAAGCCATAACCCGAAAACTGAGCCTCAAACCGAACCTTAAAGTCCTTGCCTGCCCTGTGCGAGTGTCAGAGTCGACAGTCCTAATGTCACCTAAATTTGGCCTCGCGGCATATCTTGGATGTTTGCGTGCGCTTGACTTGACTGGGGTGCAGGAATCAGGCTTCCAAAGCCAAGTCTTGAACACATATCAAGCTTGGTCGACGAAAAAAAGTAAAGTTCTCACAGTGCTTTAGTAGCCAGTGTTGGAATAGCACCTAGTGCTCAGACATCAATCCAGAACCAGCCAGGTCGCAGGCGTCACATCCTTCAGGACCCAGAGGGTAGGGTGTTGTGTTCCTTGAGAATCTGATTTGCGACAGCGCATGCTCCATGACCAAATTAAAAAGCAGCTTGAGCCCCTATTGGAAGGATTTGGGCTTGTCAATTGTTGTTTGATATTGAAATGAAGGGTCGAGGGAACGTTTGGGTTGAGATGTCCAGAGATCGGAAAGTCCGAACGGACGGAGCATCTGGGTTCAGTTCCCTCTGACCTCAGGGTAGCCACCTTCGTAGGGCTCGTGAGTCAGTGAATCTGCACAGAGGGGCCTGGTCATGTCAACAGTACCTGGAAGCCCTCCGCACTGCAAGTGCCTTCATGGGCGTCCTCAAGAACTTGGCATTCCTTTTCATGAGAATCGGCTGGCCTCCAATTGTGAACCTGGAGCCTGAAAGCCTTTGCAGGCACATGCCTCCAGAAGCTCCGACCCGTGGCGTGACATCAATCCCCACACTGAACATCCTAAGCCCTAAGCACGACAAGGGAGGATTGAGGCACAGCATCGCTCGGGTCACCTCTTTTGTCTGGAGCTTAGACTTAGAACGATGGAGCCGTGGTCATGCCAAAACTGTCAGCCTTGCCTTGTTCTATGAAATCTTGAACTTGCATGAGAAAGCATGGTATGAAAGCGGTGGACTGGAAAGTAAAAGTCAGAGCAGGCGCCTGTAATTATTTTTCATGATTATCTTATGGTTTTCTTATGTTTTCTTGTGGTTGAGGGTTTTTCACCGTTTACGATTTTGAGTCGGTTCTGGATGCGATTTCAATACGGCTGCGAGGGAAAGCACGCCTCGGAAAGCAGCTCGGCTGCAAGTCCGAAGACCATATCAAACAAAAACATAGCAAACACACCAACACCAGTCCTGGAGGAGGCTGCGTACGAATCGAATTCGTATCAAAATCGAATCGAAATCGTATCCAAATCGTATGCAGGCCGTATCCAACTCGTAACAAATCATACACCATAAAAGGAATCATAAGAAAATCTTGACCGGAAGGATTCCTGAAATCATATTAAAACCATATCGAAATCATAACAATGATGATTGCTGAAAATCGGAGTTTTCCCAACACTGTCAGACTGTTCAAAGTAAGGGGTTCAACGGTTTGAGCGGCCTGACGGTTAACTGAGCAGACCACGGCAGTTTCCCAAACAGACACGGGGAGTGGGACCCTGAACTCATTGAGTAAGGCAGAATCAACGTTTAAGAAGCCCCGCCTACCACTATACCATCACACGTATGAACGCCCTACAACGGGGTAGTGCTGCAGCACCATAAACCACCCGTTGTAAAATCATAGACAAGCCCATCACCAACCCACCGCTTCTGGTATTTTCAAGTGACACAGCCAGGAGTTCGAGAGCCTCACCGAGCTGAATGCCAGGCCAGATCCAAGGGTTTTTCAAGGTGCCAAAAGGGTCCTGCAAAAAAGTTGTACAACGGTTTCGTGGGTATCTGATAAGGGTTTTCAAAGGATCCTGAGAGCTTGAGGAAGGTTTAATATGTAAGACTGTTAAGGTTCATGAAGGCTGGCGTTCAATGAAGAGGGACTGAGTGTCTAGGTCTTTAGATGCAGAGGTGTAGTGGGCGATTTGGGAAAAGGACTTAGGGCTAAAGGTTTAGCCGCTAGGACTGGTACATGTAATGGCAGTAATTAACCAGTAAGACTGATGGAGTCCAAGCTCTTCTTGGCCGACGCAGCACATGCATGCAAAGGGCATGAGCCAACAACAAGAACAGACCGTCGTCCGAACAGAGTTCAACACGAGCACAGGTCAGCCTCAATCTTAGTCGTGGGTGCCGGCTTCATCGGCGTCGAGTGGGTGACAGAGTTGCAGCGACCCGGCTGCTTGGGGTTGTCGGGGTTAGGGACAGTTTTGAGTTGAATGTTCGGGTTAAATTTTGAGAGACATTCAAAGCTTCAGTCTAAAGAAGGCTGTACGGCTGTACAGTGCATCGCTTAAAAACTCTTGAAGATTTGGATTCTGGCTTCTGGCGTGGAGAGCACGAGTGAGTGGACTCTACATTCCTCACAGCTGTTGGTTGTGGGTTCTGGGCTGCAAGGGCCTTGAATTTCTTCAAGGTCTGTCTCTGCAGGCAAGGAACCTACTCTGACTGGGGTCCTAAATGTCCTACTCAACCTGGTTTCAGCTTCTCAAGCAAGCATTACCTGCATCTTGTCCAACACTTTAATGTTTCTGCATGATTCATGCAATTCACATCGTTCTGACGGGGATGGAGTCTTACGGTCAGACTCGTCAGAGAAAGGTTCCGTACTCAGAAACCATGGCAGGAAGAGCAGCAAAGCGTTTCACAACCGCAGTATCCCTGGCCGGGCGGAGTTTTCGCACTCAACATAGCCCGTAGATACTGGCACCCCTGATCCTGCGAGCCACGTATTTCGAGAACTGCCCGCTCCGAGGCATTACTTTCGAAACCTGAACCTCAACATTGTGGATGTTCTGCCGAACTGTCTCGGACCTCTTCCTCCGTCTGCTGCGGCGTACTGCGCACGCTACATGAGCCTCAGTTTGTTTCTGTATGGACGCATTGGACCGTTTAATCTCGGGGCTACATGTTCAGAAGCAGATTTCGACCGAAACTACGGCTAATTATGGCTAATTAGTGCTATTCCTGCTGCTACCGTTACGACGACGACGACGGCTGTTGCTGCTACTGCTGCGACTACTACTACTACTACTACTACTACTACTTCTACTACTACTACTACTACTACTCCTACTACTCCTACTCTTCCTACTACTCCTACTACTCCTACTACTCCTACTACTCCTACTACTCCTACTACTACTACTACTACTACTACTCCTACTACTCCTACTGCTCCTACTGCTCCTACTCCTACTCCTACTCCTACTCCTACTCCTACTCCTACTCCTACTCCTCCTCCTCCTCCTACTACTACTACTACTACTACTACTACTTCTACTACGCCTACTGCTGCCACTACTGCTACGGCTACGGCTACGGCTACTGCTATTACTACCGCCACTGCTGCTACATTTACCGCGACCACCACCAAAAACCTACTTCTACCGCCGCCAGTATGATACTTATGCTGCTCCTCCCACTCCCACTGCCACGTATCTCCCGTTGCTACTACCACTGCCACTCCTACTGTTACTGCTGCTGCTACTGCTGCTTTTGCTACTGCTACAGAGACTCTACTACCCACTTCTTGGGGCCTGGGGCTGTGCCGCGCATGGCCGCTAGTTCTGTTCCAGCGACTTCTGCAACGACTACACAAGTGGCTGCGGCCACTAGATGATGACCACTGCCGCAGGATGACGATAACTCGAGAAATATCGCGGCGACTGAGGGGAACGACGAAAGTACTGCTGGTGCTTTTGCCGCGGCCAGCAAGTAGTGCTTGGCTACATAGTACTACCTAGCGCTAGCACTTGTAGGCACAAGATAGTCGAACGATGATCCAGCAATGCAATGTCACGCCTCCTCCAACTGAGAACGAGGGCAGACATGGCATGACAATCCCGTGCTCCGTAAGCTGGACGTCCATCATGCTCCAAACAAAGCCCTCCGCATGCAGATGGTGAATCCACCAACCATAGCTACCAAAGCAAGCTTTGCCTCGTGTCAAGCAAGGACTTCCGTAGGCATCAAGCTGCCTGTCAGCAGGGAGCTGGGAACTGATTTGACACGTGTATTTCGATGGTCAGGGTTCAGGGTAACAAGACGGCTAGCAAACAGGTGATGCTGGTTTGTTCGTTCTGGATGCCGCAGAAGCATGTCCCTAATGGCTAGTTCTTTGCATAGCTTTCCAGGCATCTTCCATGTCTATTAATTGTTCCTCCTGAGGCGTGAGGCGTGCTGCTTAGGCCCGAACAGCAAACCCATTTCAAGCAAATGCCAGCACATTACGCAGAGATGCCGCGCTACCAGTTGATGTGGTTTGGAGATCGTGTCTGGTGGCATTGTCGGACAGCTTTGCAGATTCATGTGTGCCATCTTGCTTGTAGGCAACTTAGAGGATGAAGGATGCAAAGTAGAGGCCTCTAGGGCTTTCGTTCTTCTTCTAAACGCTACTGAAACCTGATCAGCCTATCGGAGTCGTGCGCTGCAGCGGATGCCCTAAACCTCGGCCCGGATCCCAGGGACTTAGGTTTCAGGATCCCGAGCTTGGGCCCTGCACCTCAGCCCAGCTTCCAGCAAGGCAACACTACCGAACGAAGTACGATCCAGCTTCTGGTCTGAACCCTTCCAGGTTTGCGCACCATTTGAACAGAAGGGTCGGATTCAACTCGTGTTTCGGGCGAGGGATTGGGATTTGGCATCATGGCTTCGTGGGTCAAAGTAATTAGGGCGAATTAGTAGCCCTTGTGCATGCACCGGCTTTTCGTTTCGTTTGCTAGCTTGAAAGGTTCCGACAGAAGCTATGGGTCTCGAGGTTTTGTTCAGCCTTGAGGTCGAGCTTGAAATTTCGGGCTCTGGGTTTAAAGCCGCCAAGCACACCGTAATGTTGGAGCTGTTCGAGAATGGTACGCTTTATTACGCGTATCGCTGCAACCACCCGTTCATCCCCGAATCCGAACCCTGAACCCCGAACATCCCTGAATCCTGAGCGATGCATATCGCCACCGAGAACAGCATGGACTTCTGGCAGACCATTGGCATGCCAGAGAAGGCAGACCGAACTTTCGCCCCTTCGGCTGCAAGGTTGTTGGCTGTTGAAAGCTTCAGGGGCTCTAGGGCTTAAAGCTTTACTCGGACTTCCGCAGTACTGCCTGCAGGTCTCACTTGTTCGGGCTTGTGTCCGGACGCAGTGCGTTCCAAGCGAACAACGCATACCTATAGGCCTCTAAACATGAATTGAGACTACAGATGAAGCGGAAGAAGCCCCAGACCACGAAGAGACTCGGCGTTTAAGCCCTGCAGGATCCTAAACTGCAACGTCTGGAGCATTCCTCAATCGCAAATCAAAAGCAGGCCATGAAACCCGCCTAAGGTGTGCATTGGCGTCAAAGCTGCCAATTACTTCATGCCACCGGATACACTCAGATGCTCGGCATATCACCCACTGAATCCGGATTTACCATTCGGTCGGAGATTGATAGAATTAGTGACAATTAGTGGAAGGGCGGTGCAGGTTGGTGGGAAAGCTGGAATACATGATGACCGACAGTCCTGGCTACTGACTGACTTTACCCTGAGCCCCAGAAGCCGTCAGAAAACATGAACCAGCAGGTAAAATATGCACGAAATGCAAAGGTTAACATGTATAGTTGCAGCAAATATTTTCAACTGAAGAAGATCAACCGGTTAGCTGCCGGACTTGATGCCGTGACTGGATTCGCAATGAGGACTTCCGAAAAAAAGCTTGACTTATTGTACCGGAGCCAGCATTTCTGAGTAGTCATGTCAGTACGAGCAGCCGTGATATTTAGCCGTTGTGCAAATAGAATAGGGGTTGGCAGAATCCTTAGAGCATCTAGCTCCTCTGCAATGCTTGATAAGAAAATTTGAGGCTTCGAAGCTTTAGGACTGTAGGAACCAAGGTCCGCCAAAGGAGTAGGGCAACCGTGAAAGCCTTTATCCTAAGCCACCTATATCCCTCTAAACCAGGATGCCGCAACCCTTAGCCCAGACGCTCCCAAACCACCTTAGGTGTCACCGGGCCGGGCATCCGGGCGGCAGACGTTATGCTGTGAGGGGGTGGGTCAAAGCAGCACCTGCACCAGCTCGATACCATGTCCAGCCAATCTAAGATGCCAAGAGATTCCACTCCAAATTGAAATAGTTTTTTCAAGCATGGATTCCCTGCATGGTCACAAGTCGTCAACCCTATTACCAGTATCATATGCTCGTTCCATGCTGGCTCTCTGGATGAAGGACATCTTTGGAAGCGGTTCCCTTCAGCCGACCACCAGAGAATAACCTCGCCTGACGAGTGTGAGCGCCGAAAGCACCCCGAAGACCAGGTTCAGAGTTTGAGGAGTGCATCATAGCTGTTCTAGAAAGCGTGTATAAGAGTTGTGTTAAAGCTCCAGTTCTAGGATGAAAAGCGTTCTGGTTCTGGCAGCCAGCAAGCCCAGTTTCAAAAAGGGTTCTATTTCAGAATTTTCTGTCCTGGTTACCCCAACACAATTATGCCTTCAGGGCTTCAGGTGCTTCGATGCCAAGCGATTTGCGGCAATCAATTGTTGTTGGAGCTGCGGTCAAGCACATGAGTGGTTGAATCAAGAGATTACACTGCACCCACCTGGCAGACCTGAGGCTCAATCGTAGACCCTAGGCTCAAAAGCCGAGAATCCCATGATTCTCACTCAGAACTGAGGAGGTGGTGGCTGGATACTGTTCAACCAGAAACTTCAGGCGCACATGGGACATGGAGTTTTTGTTTTCCAGGCTGGTTTACGATTTAAGGTTTCGGGAGTTATCTGAAGTGGGGTTTCACTTCAGGGGTCCCCAGAAGTGGGCTTCGTTCTGATAGGACCCCGAAAACAACTGGAACGACGCGTGTAGTCCTTGCTCTTCTGTATGCCTAACACATGCATGCCCAGTTCATTCAAACGGGACCCAGGGTCACGGTAGCCGCACATGTGCACCTTGGATTTAGGACTTGTTGGTGATATGTGTTTGCGCGTTTGTTCTGCCACACCGGAGGTTCTGTTGAAGACTACAATCTTGATTGCCGCGTCTTCAGAATCGATAGACACATGGGCCTTTCCGTTGTTGTCAGAAGACTACTCGGCTTGTTTCCATCTTTACTGTCGGGCTTCCAATCTCCCGAGTTCATGCTCCAGGGTTCAGCCCAGGCCTCCCAAACCCAACATGGTTTCAATGTTTTGGTTTGGATTCTGAAACCTGCTTCTGGTCCTGGTCAGGTCACCACCCGTCCGCCTCGAGGAGCGCAAGCCCTAGCCTCAGGAATATCTTCGAGCCGTTGCGTAGTATCGTTTCGTGCCGATAACGCACCCTATAGACCACAGACACCAATGGATGACAGGAAGATCGGAGTGTTGTGCGTCACAGCGGTGCAACATGTAAGTGAACAAATCAGAAGTGTTGGCTCCTCGATCGGACCTATGGTTACATGCGCTACCCTGGATGCAGGCATGTGTGAGTTTTGCGAGGATTGCTCGGGTTCGGGTTGCAGGAAGACCTCATTCAGGCCGCTGTTTGCGGGATCCCGGGTGCCAGCAGACATCCCTAACTCCCAGATCCTCCTTTGCCAGCTTGAGGCTCCTACCGCGGAGCCTCGCACTCTAAGCCGCTGAGGTCGGGGACGTATGGGCGGGAGGGCGCGTCTTCGCCGTGGGCGACTGCAACTACGGCTCCTGGGTTCGTGAGGTCTAGATTCAGAACCAGTCGTCTGCTAGACGAAGGTCATGCGATCCTGTTTGCAGCGACCTACAAACCACCCTGCTTTCATTTGCTGCTTTGCAAGTTGTGTTTCTTGCCATGTAGGTTGTCGGTCTACGAGAGGTATAACTGTTTTTAATGCGCCTCAGTGACGGCCACGATGCCATAATATAGAGCTTGCAGTTAATACTCCCTGCTCAGCCACCCAGTACGACCCAAAGCTTGCCTGGAGCGACCAAAATTCGACACGACGACCTCGTGCACCCCAAACTTGGCGGTTGCAGAAAGAAGGTGTTCTCTGTTGGTTAGTCCAAGTTTGACTTATAGCCTCTGCGGTGCATCATCGAGTCAGTCTTTTGGGTGGTAAACGTTGAGTTGAGCCCCAGACTCTTTGTTTCGTCCCTGGGAAGTGTTCCTGGAGGCTGCATCGGAAATCCGCCCGACTGGATCATGCCGCCCGTTCCCAAGGCTGGTTTGGGTTAGCAAGACGTTCTTGGGGTTTAGGTTCTGAGTGCACAACGTAGGTATCAGGTTTTTGAGGTCGGGCAGCGCGGCTGTCAGAGTTTGTCTCATAGAGCCTCCGACAGGACAGGGCAAGCCGGGGCTGGGGCATAATCAAGGCCTCCGTACGTGCACGAGTCTGAGGTCATGTGCAGAACCTCATACTTGGAAACTTCGAGGGAACAGTGCTGTGCTGGCAACTCAGTTCCACCACATCAGGATGCAATCAGTGCGCTCCCTTGCAAGGTCTCCTTCCCGAGCGAAGAGCAGGCGAATCTCGATGCAAGAGGAGGTGGCAGCTTTTTCACATGAGTTACAAGTCGATGTAGCTGTATAGCTCGCCCGTTCGAATCCTGCTTGGGAGAGCTCGCAGAATTTCAAGAGTGCTCGCCCGAAACTTCACGGCCACCAAACCATTGGAGTGATGAACGAAGGCAGCAGCTGAGAGAGCATCGTGTCGAAGTGTCCCAACAGTCTGTGAAACACAGAGAGAGAGAGAGAGAGAGAGAGAGAAACAGTTTGGCGCGCACGCGCGCAGCGGGGGGCGTCCGAGCGAAGAGAGAAACAGTTTGTGCAGTTGGTGAAGTTGAAGTAAGTTGAACTGCTTGTAGAAAGTTGACCAGGCGAAAGAGAAAGCTTGACTGAAAAACAGTACCTAATCTAAAGAGTCGCTACCGGAGCTGCTGACAATTTGCATCCTTTCTGGATGCCTCTGTTCGTAGCTCTTTCTAGAAGTTCTGAGTCGTCTGTGTAAGCCCTTGGATCGAAGTCGGCTTGATGGATGCAGCTCCCAAGCATCGTAGACCTCCTCGTCGCCAAGGAACCACGCTTGCCGGAATGTGCGCCTCATGAATGTTGAGAAGGCTGGTCCTGAAGTCTGGGCAGGCAGCTTCGGAAGGAGCAGCTTAGGCAATAGCATGGCGTGCTGCTCATAGCCGGTGTAGTTTAATCATGGTCCGTTCGCGCAGAATGGACTATCGAGGTGGAAGTTTGCCCGCACCTCCTCGGGTTCTATATTGTTTCCAATGACCAAGATGTACAGTGAAGTCTTAAACGACACGACGATCTGACGCGGAAGTAGGTTTAGCGGTTTTGCGTGAGTGCGCACGACATGACATTGTCAGTTTTTGAAGCTCTTCCGCGACTCAGAGCTGCTAGCATCTCCAAGAACCAACTTGCCTGCAGACTTAGACGGGGTTCAGGGTTCAGGGTGTTGAGTTTACACGTAAAGGGTCGGAGGGCAGGTTGGGGTCCAGGGTTTAGGAAGGGGAGGTTAGGACAGTCGCTGCAAGGCTGACTCCAGTACAGACTCAACATCAAGCAAACCTAAACATTAAACAGGGCTGGAGTGAAGAAATTCCGAGGTGGCCACCCCCCGATTGCTTGTGTTTGACTCTTGAGGGTTTAGGGGGGGTTTCGGCCCTAAGCCCCAACCTTAAACGATTTGAGGCTTCGGCCCTAAAGCGTAAAGCATCTAAGCCCAGGAACATAAAGTCTAAAACGAAGCCTTAAAACCTTAACCTCAACCCGAAACCCAACTTGTAGAAGGAGTGTTGAGTGGCAAGCCCGAAACCCGCCGAATGTATTTTTTTTTTGGGGGGGGGGGGTCGGATCAGGCCACCAGCTGACCTACCTTGCGCCAGGGGTGGGGGAGTTATTAATCAATCGTTCCCACTATGTATCCCCAAGCTCCAATCTCTTCCCTGCATCCCGGGTCCCGCCCGTGTATTCTCGAGGGATTAACAAGTGCGCAATTGGACTTATGCCGTGAGACAAAACCTGTTCCATAATCTATACCTATGCGGCAATTGTACCAACAAAAAGTGGTTCCCAAACTGCCTATAAATGGAAGGACCTGTATGCTGAAGCGTGTCCCGCATGTGCGACTTTCCTAAACTCAGCCCTACTACAACCCGAACTTAACTGTGCGTTCGTTTGAGGCCCTCCGGGACACCTATTGGCCTTGGGGCGCCGGCCTATTTGCGACCAGCTTGGGGCCTCGTCCCACGCCGCAAGCAGTGAGTTTTGATCGAGGGCTTCGGTCCTCAGCCATTTGCGCTGTGTTGGTGAGTTTGGGATTTCGAACTGGGTCTACTACGAGCGCTTCAGTGATGATTCTAGTTGTGTCGGAGCTTCTTGTGGTTGGGTCCGTGGGTGTAATGTTTCAGGAAACTGTGGCTATGTATGTCCCGCTTGTTGTTTGCTTGTGCAGCGACAGTGGACAAGGACGGCTTCATGTAAGGTCGAGCTTCCGACAGCCAGACGATCAAGTGGCTTTAGGATTGGTAGTCGCGTGGCTCTGCGGGTTTGTCCCAAACAGTCCCGGAAATCACAAATGTGATTTGCATGTTTGTCGGTTTTATGGTGGCCCAAGCATGGCAGGACTTGTTGCACTTACAAGTCCTTCAATACTTGCCCTTGGACGTTCAGGCTGCGAGAGTCCAGACCATGGCATATACCATCATATGGTGTACTGGTATGTACCCTGCATGTAACTACGCACGCACATCGAATTTCCGTGCGATGCCTTCGTTCTTTGACTTCACGAAAGCACGTTCACTGCAGCATTTTGTGAGAAGGCGGGATGTCATGATGCTTGTCCGTGCCATCCAGGCAGTTCAGTCTCACATGCAGCCCCTCTAAGTTAAGTTGTTCCCTTAGTCATTCACACGCTGATAACGAGACGCAAACAAGCTACCTGCCTCTACACAGGAGTTGCTGAGCCCTGTCGTTTTGCAACAGATTTGAATGTCATGACCGGTAGGCATCCTGGATCAGTGATTTCCTTTGCGAGTTCCAATGTCAACGAGGTGCAGCTAACTGCCTGACAACGAAGTTCAACGCGATGCGCTTCATGAACAATTCTCTCTTGTACTGCACCAAAGCAGGACATCCTTCCTCTGCTCACCAGTCCAACGGAAAGTCGACCAGAAACGGAATTGGCTACACACGATCTTTCTTGCATTGCCCGACCTGGGAGAGCTCAGGTGACGCCTGCTTCGTGATGGGTGCTTCGTACAGGAAGCTTGGCTTCCACCCCGTGCATACATGAACTTCGCATCGTTCTCATGCGCCAGGGTTTAGCTGGGGTGTGCATGGCAAAGTCCTGACTTGTTTTGCGGCAAAGATTGTTCGCCTGTTCAGGTCCTTCAGGAGGGGGGGTTCAAGGACGGCAGGAGGTTTAGGATGAAAGGATCTGGAATGGTTTGAGGTTTAAGGTAAGCCGTGGGTTCCTTGCAGAGAGTCAGAGGGTGCTGCCACTGCACTTTGATGTGACGTGGACATACAAATGAGAGGAATTGGAATGCAACCCCAAAGCCAAACCCAATCCCATACGAAGACCGTCCTAACCAGAGTGGCCCTTATACAGAATGTCCCAAGCCCTGAGGCAGTGGGGTGTTTCTTGAATCATAAAGCCCGAAGTGTCAATTGGCCTGAGACACTAAGGAAAGGATCGGGATACCTGGTGAACTGGTGCCTCGGGATAGAAGATACTGCATGAAGAGTTAAAGTTGAGAGTGTATAGAGCTTGGTTGGCATCGGGATTAAGGGTTTGGTTGTCGAGGTTTGCGGGTTAAAGGCTTGAACGTTCTAAGGTTACAGGTCGGAAGTTTGGGGCTTCAGAAAAGTTTGCAGTTTGCGGATGTTGCGCGCTACAGGGTTTTTCCATGCTATGCTTGGGGATTAGGGTCCTCGTGTGGTCAGTAGCATTCAGACGCAAGCCGACTAGTTGGCCCCCCACTCAACACAAAATGCCTCACATGTATCGAACAGGGCAGCGGATACGTCTGCCAATTTCAGTTTTTAGGTTGGAGGCCTCTGTCGAATGCTTGTCCAAACAATGGTTCCCTGATGTGCTTCATAATATGGTTGCTACAAAAGGTCCTTGGCTTCTGTGTCTACTTGCAGCAAGTACATGTCATATAGGATCTGAAACTTGGGCATCATCATGTTTCTGAACCAAAATGACCAGGACTGTTGGAGGCTTGATACCCCTCAGCCTACATGACTAAGAGTCGGGAGTTGGGATTCCGATCATGGAGATGCCATGCAGCAATCCGGGACCACGCTTCCAGGATTCAAGTGCATCGCTGTCTGCGGAGTCTGAAAAACAGGTTGAGTTGGACACTGGCCAGCCATATCGCTTGTCAGCTCGACACTCGAAGTCATACATTTAATCCATAAAGCCATCAGACCCTTAATCCCATGCCACGAGAGCGCTTTTTGCCGGTGTCTTTGCCTCCAGGTGGCTGCCGGCTGTCTGGCAGAAAGACATCATCGAGAGGACTCATGCAGTGCAGCTTAGCCGTTGCTACCGTTCGACCTGCTAGTATGCGACGGTAACCTTAGGTGGACTTCATGCACTCTTCGAATTTGACATGCTTTTCTGTCTGAGTCCGGTCGTATTAGTTGTTAGCTTATGTGCACATGAGGTTCCGAACCTTAAGCCAGCGTGTAATGGGGTAAGGGGCACGACCAGGGCAACAGGCCGGTGCCTCTCGGAAGATGCTTCCATGCAGGTTACTTCCATGCTATACCTGGTCATACCTGGCCCATCCTGGCATGTGTGGACGAACACATATCGGGGATTGCACGTGCGGATGCTCGCTGGAACACCAGGGAATCCCACGGGGTAAACATGGAACCACGTCTTCGTCAACCCCCCGATGCTCACCCGTTCCTATGAGCACCGAACCTCAAAATCCTTGCCGTTTGGACCCCAACCTTACAACTCTGCAAGTCTTGCCTTAGCGACAAAGTGCCCCAGCCCAGCCCCACAGCCCACACAGTAGCAAGCACAAGACAGCGAGGCCCAACCCTTGGCCCCATGGAGCCGTAGTAAGTTGCTTGTCGGCAGGACGAAGGTGATGGAATGTGGCTCAGCTCTACAGTCCGGCCATGTGAAGGGCATACTAGCTGTGGTGAAGGGGTCTTTTCTCGACACCGCAACAGGACTGCGATGTAGACAGCGGCGCAACCGAGCCTTGTTTTTTTTGTCGGTTTCGGTGCTTCACAGCTTCGTACAGGCAAGAGCGAGGCCATTGGACGAATGGCAGCTGAGCTGCAGAGTCTCCGGTGCGCCGAGTTCGGAATTCCCGTGTCCGTTATTTAGTCCCCTGTAGGCCCCAACCAGCTCACGGGCAGACATTTTGGTGTTTGGGTCTGAGGCTTGGCAGCCTGCCACCCTTTAGAGTTCTACTTGCACCTTGCAACTGTTGGTTTGTTTGGGCCTGATCGCTGGAGCTGACTCAAGAGACGTCGCAACATGTGCAAGTGCGAGCCTCAAAACTGGTGACCAGTTTTGTAACTGTTGGTTTCAGGTGGTATCTGAACCGCATTCGAGTCCCGACCTCTGCTTCAAAAGAACCCTTGGACTGGAAATGTAGCGGCCCAGGTGTGGCACTTCGTGCATCATCGTCCTTTCCTGAGTTAGAGGGTGTGTGTGCTAGGGATCTCGGACGACGTGACCTGGCGCTTGTAGGGCCAGTGGGCAATCAGATTATCGAGCAACCAGAAGATGTAACCAGACTACGAACACAAACTTCCCACCTACTGCACATCACTTGCCTCACTAGCCTGCAACTACGAGCCACAGCCGAGAAGTCAATGACTCAGCTCCGGAAATCAACCTAAGCTTCGTGTGCCTGGAGCGAGCATTGGAAAGCGAAGACACAGGTCAACCTGCGATTGACTACGTTGGGTGCATAGGGGTTAGAGTTTAGGGTTTAGGGTTTCGGGCCTCAGAGATAGCTTTGAGGATGGGTTGAGCGACAGGTGTTGTCAGGGCCTGTTGATTCGGTACCTTTCTCAACTTTACACACTGTCTCCTGATCATTTGATAAGGTTGTTGCTGCAGGGAATTGATTTGAAGCTAACTTGTGACAAGATTCGAGGAAGACTTTTCTGAGCTGACTTGGGGGCGCGTTGAGGAGGGTTTAGGGACCGGGAAGATTCCAGGCAGACGTTGCTGAGGTGGCATTGAGGGAGGGAGGATGATTTGAGGATAATCTAGATGATGTTGGGGTAGTTCTGCGGCGCACGTCAGTTAACATGTCGTCATGAACCTATGGGCACCGTCGTGAGTTTACATAAAAGTAGTTACATTAAGTAGGACATGCCGTAGAGAGTCTTCGTTAGTTTGTCGTAAATTCGTTCAAGTTGCTGGAAGGTAAGCCCAAAATAAATGAGGGACCCCTCAAACCAAGAGCATCGCCAAGTGGAAGTTGATCCCGCGCCATGGTCGCCAGCTACGTGCGCGTGGTTCCCAGGAGCTGTGGTGGTCGGAGGCTTTAGAGCTAGAGGGCTTTAGGGTTTGGGTTGTAGGGATTTGGGGTCTGAACCCTGAACCCTCAACCAAAAAC